TCTCATTGTATGCTTTTGATGCCCTTGTCAATAATTAGTTGTCCATCTATGTTTTAACTTATTTCTGAACTCTCTATTCTATTTCATTGGTCTATGCTTTTGTTTTTATGCCAGGACCGTACTGTTTTGATTAAAATAGCTTTGTAATATAATTTTAAATAAGGAAGTATGATGCCTCCAACATTACTTTTTTTTTTTACTTAGTATTGTTTTGGACTTTTGATGCTTTTTTATGATTCCATACTAATTTTAGATTTTTTCTATTTCTATGAAAATAGTCACTGGAATTTTTATAGGGATGGCATTAAATCTATATATTGCTTGCAGTACTATGATTGCTTTAGCAATGTTAATTATTCCCATTTGTGAATGCATATTTATTCATTTATTTGAATCAGGCTTAATTTCTTTCATTAAAGTTTTATAGTTTCAGTGTGCAAATCTTTCAGCTACTTGATTAGACTTATTCCTAGGTATTTTATGCTATTATAAATGGGATTATTTTCTTAATTTCTTCTTCAGATAGATCATTATTCAAATGTAAAAGTGCTTCTAATTTTTATACATTGATTTTTTTATCTTGCAACTTTATTGAATTCATTTATTCTTTAAAATAGGTTTTTTTTTGTGTAGCATTGTTGAGGCTTTCTGCTTATAGGATCATGTCATCTGCAAATCGAGATGATTTTCCCTTTTCATTTTCAATTTTGATAGCTATATCTATTCTTTATATTCAGTATAAATAAAATCATACATATGTGACCTATGTTTTTTTCACTTGATATAATGTTGGCAGTCCATCCACATTGTAGCATATATCAATACTTTGTTATAGCTGAATAATATTCTATTGCATATATATACTACAATGGGTATCTGTCCATCAGTTGATAGTCATTTGGGTTGTTTCCACCTTTGTCTATAGTACATAGGGCTCCTATGAACATGCGTGCATTTTATATTATATAATTATATAACACAAGGATTTGTTTAAGCACCTGTTTTCAGTTCTTTTGAGTATCTACCTAGGAGTGGAACTGCTGTGTAATATGATTCTATATTTAGGTTACTGAGAAACCATCAAATCATTTTCCATAGCCCAACTATTTTACATTTCCACCAGCAATATAAATAGGTTCTAATTTCTTCACATCCTTACTAGCACTTGTTATTGTTCATTTAAAAAAAATATTTCTAACATAACATTATTTTCTTATTTTTACAGTGGAAAATAGAAGGTTTTATGAATACTTTTTATCTCAACAATAGCAAATATTTAAGTGTTTAAATATTTGGTAATAATTTTCAGTAAAAACATAGAGTTGAATAAAAAAGGTCAATGAAAATGTTAGATTTATCATGACAAAGTTTGTGGGCAATGTGGCTTAGGGCTATAAGTAAATGAAGTGTTTCATTTCCCCTATAATGTAGTAATATTTTAAACTACATAAAATCAGGCAGTTTTAGTTCCCCTCCATTTCTGTTTTCCTTTGCTATTTTGATAAAATAAGAATTAGGAATTGTTTGGGATCTTGTCGTTAGTTTGATATAATTGATTATATTAGATATTTTAATCAAAATATCTATGTACCACAAATATTTATGACAGGTGAAACTCTAAGCTTAATTATAATCGGGAATTTTATTTAAAATAATGATTTAATGTGACTTTGAGAGACTTCTAAAATTTGTCCAGATATTTCAGATAGGCAGTTATAAATGTTAAGCTTTGACTGTTTCTCTGGAATTATAGGCCTTCTCTATGTTAACCATTTCAGTATCCTGAATAAATAGTATTTAAATGCTTGGTACCTGAAATTTTGCCTCCACACATCAGATCAAAGACTGATTAAAATAATTTTTAAATTATTTCTTTGTTACTTACTTCTAAACAATGTTGCTAAGGTAATGTTTTGATATATTACCTTAAAACAATTTTTCATAGGAAATTCCACTCTGCTTCAAAAATTTGGAATAATATTTTTATCTTTATAAAATAAATGCTTTTCTGTTGAGCTATAAAGAAGATCAAACTGAGAATATTAATTATTACTCACTTGTTGAGGACTTCAAAAGTTTTGGATAATTATATCACAATTCACTGAAGTGCCTCTTAACCAATTTTCCCCTGACTCTCTTGTGATACTTCAACTTCAAATGGCTTCTTATAACTGTCATATAAATCAACATCATGTAGGTTTCTGCATTATGCAGGATTGTAATGCCAGTTTCCAAAATCAAGGAATAGCATTTTCCTGATTGTTAATTAGTTTAGAATCTATTAACATATTCACTGAATTTGTATTCTCTTCTCTGCAAAATGCCAATTTATCTTTTGACATTTTCTTTTGGGTTTACTTGTGTTTTCTTATTGACTTGTAGGAACTCGTTACCTTTAGAAAGTTGTATGTGTTGTAAACAATTTATCTCAGTTTGTGAGTTGTTTTTTTACTTTATTAATTTTAATGTAATTAAATTTATTACTTTTCTTTGGCTCTTAAGTGAATTGTGTCTTCTTTAAAAAAATGTCCATACCACAATCATACAACAGTTTTATCTTATAGATTCTAAAATTTTGACTTCTTCTTGGAGATTTGCTCAACAACATGAAATTGATTTCTTTTTTTTGCATATGAATGCAATAGATAGCTAATTTTATTTTTTAAAAAAGGAAAATTAGTTTTCTTCACAATGCTTTTATTTCATATCTAGTCATTTCCTATAAATCAGCCATGCCATATCCATCATACATCAAAGTTTCATATATGATTTTACCTATTTCTGGCCCCTTCCATCCCACTGGTCAATTTTACCTCCCTATGTCAATATCTAGTTTCACTCATTTACGAGTCATAATATGTTTTGGTATCTGATATAGTATTTCTTTTTACTTTTTTAGAGTTCATTGGGTATTCTTGATACACTGCTCTTTCATATAAATTTTAGAATAAGCTTATTATATTATATGAAGAAATCTATTGGAATTTTAAACATAATTGCATTAATCAGTTTTTTATTATATATATGAATTTAGTTTTTTTAATGTTTTTTAGATTTCATTGAATCTATTATACTATCAGCACAAGAAAATTCCAGCAGTACAGCAAATCCCAAAACCAGTTCAGAGGAAGGAATTTTGTATAAGGCAATGGGGACAATGAGGAAATTGATTAATATAGTAATTTGCTGCGTACACAGTGGTCACATGAGATTATAATATTTTATTTTTACTGTACATTTTCTATGTTTCAATCAGTTGAGATACACAAATACATTTTGCTATAGTTGTCTACAGTATCCAGTATGGTAACACACTGTGCAGGTTTATGGCCTAGGAGCAATAGGCTATACCATATACCCTAAGCATGTAGTTGGCTCTACCACTGAGGTTTGTATAAATAGACTCTGTGATGTTTGCACAATGACAGAATTGCTTAGCAATGCATTTCTGAGACTGTATCACTAAGTGACACATGACTGTATGTATGTATGTATGTGAATGTGTGTGTGTGTGTGTGTGTGTGTGTGTATATACACATATATATATCATAAAATTTTTTTGTTCAGATTCTGGTAGGATATGGGAACTAGAGAGAAGTAATCATATATGCCAAATAAAAACCTTGAATTAGAGATAATCTATAAAACCTGTAACATTCTGGTTTTGCATTTTTAATAATTTATGACTTGTATAGCCCAAGATACTCTTAGAATATATCTGTAGGAAATAATCCCTGCTAATAACTTTATAATCCAGAAAAGACATAATATTATGGTAAACTAAGTATGTGAACTCACATATAATTTTGTATTCACCACTCATTGATAACATTAAAATTCAGTAGATGTCATGTACTTCTGATTGTTAGAAAAGACTTTTGGGAATAAATAGCATTTGAAGTGTCCCTTGATGAATGTGTAAGATTTAGAATCACAGAGACAAACACCAGAATAGTTAGTTGGGTTTAAGAATAAAACAATATGAATAGATAGGAGAATTATATACTTCTTGGGAAACAACTGTAAACCAGTAAGTTTGTGAGACAGATCTTAATCAATTTAAAGGTTTATTTTGCCAAGGTTAAGAACCGTGGTTCATGACAGCCTCAGAAGGTCCCAAGAACATGTGCCCAAGGTGGTTTGGTTACAGCTTGATTTTATACATTTTAGGGAGGCAGAAGTTACAGGGAAAGACATAAATCAATATGTGCAAGTTACACATTGGTTAGTCCTGAAAGGTGGGACATCTCAAAATGCAGTTTTCTAGGTCATAGGCCAATGCAGGTTTCCTGATTGGTAATTGGTTGAAAGATATAAGAATTGCCTAAATTTTTGAATTCAGAATTAAAAAAAAAAAAAACAAAGTTCTTATCATGTAGATGAAGCCTCCAGGTAGCAGGCTTCACAGAGAATAGATGGTGAATGTCTCTTATCAGACCTTAAAAGGTGTCAGACTCACTAAAAAGGACCTAGTAAGGGAAAGAGACAGAATGCAAATTTCTTCCACAAGAGATGGCTTTGCAGGAACATTTCAGAATATGTCAAATAACTATGTTTTGGAGTGAAATACTTTTATTTATTTTAAGGCCCGTTATCTGTCATGTATTGCCATATCAGAATAAGGTGGGAATTTGGTATCTTATTGCTACAAAAAGTCTTTTTTGTTCATCTTAAGATTTCTGTTTTAATTTTAATGCTGGTCAGTTGTGTCTGGATTACAAAGGGAGGAGGTTATAATGAAGCTGATCTGATTCTCTTTCACATCATGTCCTTAACTAGTTTTTTAGATTTCTTTTGGGTCTCCTTGGCCAAGAGTTGGGGAACTTAGTCAGTTGCAGGGCTGAGAATTTTATTTTTGGTTTACAAAACAGAGAGTATAAGTAAACAAAAATATAGTGAAATTGAGATATGTAGAGAATTGACAAGTTTAAGTGAAATTTAGTCACTGTTTCTTAATATGTTTAATATTTGATTTTTATTGAGATCTTTTGTTTTGACAGTTTGAAACTTCTTTTGAAGAATGGTAAGAAAATTTCATGCGTTTAAAACTATTTTATTTTTAATGTCATAATTTCAATCATCTGCTATAATTCAGTGTAACTTCAAAAGGAATAGAAAATTGATTGCAAGATTTTTCACTTTAGATATTAAAATACATTTTTCAAAATATGAGAGTTAGGACGTCACTGATAATGGCAAAACAGGGATCTCCAGAGTGGCATTCCTCCACAAAAACAACTATAAAGTTTGCAGTTAAAAAAAAAAAAGTTGGTCTGAATCAACTTTTGCAGAAATTTGAATTCCAGTAAAAAATTAATAACCACCAGGGGAAAATTTAATGAAGAAGGAAACTGTTGCATTGCATTAAGAGAGAGTACTGTGGCATTGTAATTTACCTGCTCAGCAATCTCCAGCCTTCAGATTGGTGGCAGATATGAAGAGAGCAGGGCACACCTGTGGTTCAGATTCCTAGTGCCAGAGGGAATAATAGGAACATCATTCTCAAAGAATTGTGTTTGATAGATCCCTGAGAGACTAGCATAAGAAATGGCCTTTATTTTGCTTGATTTGGAGCAATCATAAGGCTGGGGCTACTTACAGGCAGTGTTTGCTAAAAGCATTTAAAGGCATATACTTGTCATAGAAGACTGAGGCTATAAATAACAGCTGTGACAAGCATTAACCAGAGCAAAATTCCTGTGAAAAAATTGTTTGGATAAAGTGTTAGATACACGAAGGAAAATCTCTCAATATACTAGAGATTTGAAAGAACACAGAGGGCTGGAAAAATGTTCAAAAAAGACCTGAGAAGATCCTAATCTTACTTCTGGCTGACCTTTAGGGTCTGCACAGGCAAAAATCCATGGCAGAGTCAGGGTTGTAAACAACCTGAATGTATCTGAAAGGATTACCCTAACGTAGACCAAATCTGCTAAAATTGGGAGAGTATTGTTTTTCTTGTTTCTTTCTTTTGTTGCCAGCCATTTAAGTGAATTCAGACAAAACACTAGCTCACCAATAACCTCAGGAAATAGATTTCAGTGATAACACATGACAAAGAATACAGGCATTATAAAAGAGCGCTTAGAAGATTTAGTAAACAAACAATAACCCACTATAGACAGAAAAAGGAAATCCAGTAGAGGGAATGGAACATAATCTGGTTTTTATTTCACATTAAAATATTCAAAATGTCCACTTTTCAAAAAATAAATATGAAGAATGAAAAGAAAAGAAAGTTTGGCTCATTCACAGTGAGAAAGGGTAAATTAATATAAACTGTTCTCAAGGGAACCCAAAATTCAGACTTATTGGACAAAGATCTTAAATCAGTCATGTTAAATATCTTCAAAGAAATAAAGGAAACCATGAACAAATAACTAAGAGCAGAAAAGTGATGTTTCAACAAATGCAATATATCGATAAGATAAATTATAAAAATTAACCAAATAGAAATTCTAGGCTGGGCACGGTAACTCACACTTGTAATCCGAGCACCTTGGGAGGCTGAGGTGGGTGGATCACGAGGTCAGGGGTTCAAGAACAGCCTGGCCAATATGGTGAAACCCCATTTTTCCAAAAAATATATAAAAATTAGCCCAGCATGGTGGCATGCACCTGTAGTCCCAGCTATTTAGAAAGCTGAGGTAGCAGAATTGCTTAAACCCAGGATGTGGAGGTTGCAGAGCACAAAGATGGTGCCACTGCACTACCGCCTGGGTGACAGAGTGAGACTCTCTCAAAAAAATTTAAAAAAAAATTAAAAAAAATTCTGGAGCTGAAAAATAAACTAACTGAAATCAAAAAGTTCACTAGAAGGGTTTGGTAGCAGCTTTGAGCAGTGAGAATAATCAGTGCACTTGATGGTATGTCAATAGAGATTATCTTATCTAAGAAGTAAGAAAGACAAGAGATCAAAGAAAAATGGAAAGTGCATAATAAACTCAAGGGCTTAATAGCAGTTAATATCAAGCATAATAGCAGTCAAAAAGTGTGATAAGAAAGGGAAAGAAGACAAAAAAAATATTCAAAGAAACACTGGTTGAAAAACTTCTAACTTGATGAAAAAGTTTAATCTATGCATCTGTTAAACTCAATGAACTCCAAATAGAATGAAGTCCAAAAGATCCACACCTGTATACATTTTAGTTAACTTGTCAAATGCCTGGAACAAAGAGAATCTTGAAAGCAGCACAAGATAAGCAACTTGTCATGCACCCAGGGCCCTCAGTAAGATTGACAGTGCATTTTTTATTAGGAACTGTGGAAGTCAGAACACAGTGTGGTGACATATTTAAATGCCAGAGGAAAAAAACTGTCAATAAAGAATTCTAAATCCACCAAAAGTATCCTTCAAAAATAACGGAGAAATTAAGACATTGTCAGATAAACAAAAGGGGTGTGTCACTAGCAGACTGCTTCTATAAGAAATCGTGTAGGTAGCCTTTTAGGCTGAAATGAAAGAAGACTAGAGAGTAACTTGAAGCCATATGATAAAATAATAAACAATAATAAAGGTAGCTACAAAGATAAATGTAAAATCCAGTATAATTGTATTTTTGTTTTGTAATTCTTATTCTTACTTATAATTAAATGCATGATTTTAAATTTCTGCTAATGAACACAAAATAGATAACTATATAATTTGTGAAAATGACACTACAAGAGGAGGGGCAGAGTTGTAAAGGAACAGAGTTCTTTATATACAAATAGATAGGTACACTATTAAAGCTACATTGATTTTAATTCAATTTTTATAGAGTTAAGATATTAATTGTAATCCTCAGGTTAACCACTAAGACAGAGTCTATTTTTAAAAATACAGGAAAACAAAGAAGAGGGACACTAAACAATATACAGGAAAAAAAATCAACTAGTTACAAAAGAAGGCAGTTATGGAAGAGTTGAGGAATAAGAAAATATATAAATAATATAGAAAATGAATAGCAAAATGGCAAAAATAAACCCTTCCTTATCACCAATTACTTTATATATAAATGGATTAAACTCTCCAGTTGAAAGGTAGAACATGGTAAAATGGATAAAAATAGATAATCCAACTATATTCTGATTCTCATCTGAGATACAAAGACATAAGTAGGTTAAAAGTAGAAGGATGAATAGCCATATTTTGTGCAAATAGTAAGCAAAAGAGAACTGGGGTGACTATACCAATGTCACACAAAATAGACTTTAATAAAAACCTGTTACAGAAGACAAAGAAGACTTGCTACACTGATAAAAGTGTAGCAAGAAGATATATTCCACCAAGAAGATATATAAACTATAAATATAACACACCTAACAATATAACCTCAAAACATGACCTGTAAACTAACAGGATAGAAGGGGAAAATAGACAGTTCTACAACAAGACAGTGAGAATTTAATGTCCCACTTTCAATAATGGATAAAAGAACTTAACCGAAGATCAATAAATCAATAGACTTGAATAACATGAACCAACTAGACCTAATCAGTTTATACAGTATGCTCCACTTAACAACAGCAGAAAACAGTCTTCTCACGTGCACATGGAACATTCTTCAGGATAGATCATATATATTATGACACAAAATAAATCCCAATGAAACTAAAAAGATCAAAATTCTACACGGTATCTTTTCTGACCCAATAGAATGAAACTGGAAATTGTTAACAGAAGACAACCTGGAAATTTCCTATATATGTGGAGACTAAACAAATCATGTTTTACAGACCAATAGGTCAAAGCAGTAATCACAGGGAAAATTAGAAAACACCTTGGTGACTGAAAATAGAAACACAATGTATTTGAACTTACAAAATGCTGCAAAAGTAGTACTCAGTGGGAAATTTACCGCTATAAACGCTTACATTCAGAGATGATTTCAAATCCAGTAACGTAACTTTATACCTTAAGGAAGGAGAAGAAGAGGAGTATGCTAAACACAAAGTTAGCAAAAGGAAGGAAATAAAGGTTAAAGTAGAAATAAATGAAGCAGGGACTAGAAAAACAGTGCATAGAATCAATTAAAATAAAAGTTGTTTCTTTGAAAACAGCAACAGAATTCACAAACCTTTAGTTAAACTAACCAAAAATAAAAAGAAGACTCAATTACAAATTAGCTAAAATAATATAAAACTGGGGACATTACAACAGATTCTGCAGAAATGAAAAGACTTTTAAGAGGATTCTAGGAACAAATGTATGCCAACAAATAAAATAATGAAGATGAAAGGGACAAATTCCTAAAAACACATAAACACACAAAAAAGGAAGAAGTAGAAATCCTGAAGAGGTCTATGACAAATAAAGTGATTGAATCAATAATCAAAAACTTGCCCAACAAAAAAAATCTCAGGACCAGATGGCTTCACTGGTAAATTCTACCAAAAATTTAAACTCTTCCTTCTTAAACTCTTCCAAAAAAATAGAAGAGAGGGGAACAATTTCTAAGTCATCCTATGAGCCCAGCAATAACGTGAAAATGAAACCAGACAAAGGCATCACAAGTAAACTATAGAATACACATGAATATACATGGCAGGCCAGGCACAGTAGCTCACACCTGTAATTCAAGTACTTTGGGAGGCCAAGGCAGAGGATCACTGGAGGCCAGAAGTTTGAAACAAGCCTAGGCAATATAGTCAAACTCCATTTCTACAAACAAACAACAATGAAAAAATCAGCCAGGTGTGGTGGCACATGCCAGTAGTCTTACCTACTCCAGAGGCTGAGGTTGGAGGGTTACTTGAGCCCAGGAGATCAAGTTTACAGTGAACTGGATTATGCCACTGTACTTCAGCCTGGACAACAAAACAAAACAAAGCAAACAAACAAACAAACAAAAAACTATGACAAAATCCTCAACAAAATCCTAGCAACCTGAGTCCAGCAATGCATTTAATAGAATTATACATCAAGACCAGTGAAATTTACCCCAGAAATGTAAGAGATTTAGCATACAAAAATTAGTTAACATAATAACCCATATTAGTAAAATAAAAGGGAAAACCTATGTGAACCTCTCAGTTGGTGAGGAAAACATGTGACACAAGCCCACACCTTTTATAAAACTAGATTGTAAGGCAACCTATTAAACATAATAAAGAATATTTATGAAAAACTCTTAGTTTGGATTATACCTGATGGTGAAAAGTTTTCCTCTTAAGATCAGGAGCAAAATAAGAATCCCCACTCTTTCCACTTTTCTTCAGCATTAGAATCCTTGTATATTGCTGATGTGAATATAAAATGGTTTAGACACTGAAAGCAGGTTGTTGGCTCCTCAAAAAGTGAAACCTAGAATTATCTGTCACTCAGCAATTTGACTCCAAGATATATATCCAAAAGAATTCAAAACATATTCAAACAAAAACTCATATACAAATGTACATGACATCTATAGTCACAATAGCCAAAAGGTGGACACAATCCCCAAATCCCTAAACGGATTAATAGATAACCGAATGTGTTGTATAGACACAATGGAATATTATTCCACCATTAAAAGAAATAAATTTCTTCTACATACGGCAGCATGAAGAAAGCTTGAAACTATTTTGCTAAGTTAAAAAAGTCACAAAAGGTCACTTGCATGATTTCACTTCTACAAAATATTCATAAAAGTACATTCACAAAGAGAGCAGATTAGTCATTACTATGGAATAGTGGGTTGAAGAAAGGGAAGAGTCTGCTTCATAAGTAGGATATGTTCTTTTAGAATGATGAAAATATATTGGAATTAGATGGGATGATAGTTTTACTATGTTGTGAATATATTAAATGCCACTGAAGTTTACAGTTTCAAATATTTAATATTATATTATGAGACTTTTGCCTCAAAAAAATAGAAAAATTAGCATAGAAGTTTACTGATCCAAGACTTAAGTGAACTTTAGAAGATAATACACAAAATGATCTAATTATATATAATAATTTACTATATCATATAAATGGCATTAAAAGCCAGCAGTGTAAGTATTATTTAATAGTTGATGCTGGAACAATTATTTTTCAATTTTTTAAAAGAAAACAAATTAAAAAATATACTTTTCAACAAAAATATTTTGAAATAAATATGAAAACTAAAGGAAGAAAATATAATAAATATATTTCTGACTTTGAAATAGACATACTTAAATAAATTGTGGGACAATTACAAGAAAAATAATTGTAGCTGTTAGAAATATGAAATGGTAGTAAAATACATTGAAAATAATTTCAGGTAACTAAAGGTGAATGTAAAATTGTGACTAATTTTATAAGAATTGAAGTATCATTAGACTATTCTATGTGATCTCTGAAGAATAAATAAATATAGATTATACTATTTTTGTAATTTTTAGTATGCATACTGTTTCTTAATTTAGAATACTTATTTAATAAAAAATAATTTAATAAAAAATTCAAAAAAATTCTCTGCTTTGTTGATACCAATTTTCTTGTAAATTTGATCAGAGAAAAAACACTTTTTAAAAAATATAATGAAGGCTAGTTTAGAACTCTAGAATCAGACCAGAGAAATACAGAGAAATAGTTTATTATTCAACATATAGAACTTTAGCTAGAAAGGAAGTAACATTTTAATTTATGGTTGCCTCCGAAGACACTACAGTTTAGTGTTGTCCAGTAGAATTTTCTGTAATAATCAATGTTCTGTATTTGTATTTTCCAACATGTAGCTTCTAGAAAGGAAATAACATTTGAATTTAGGTATTTTTCTAAAATTTTATTATCTGAAATAGTATTTTTACTCATTGTAATTTACACCGGTTCCCCAGAAACTACTGAACTGAAATTACAGAAATAGCTCATACAAATTATTCTCACAGAATACCCTCTGTCTTATAGAAACACTCTCTAAGAAAGACCAATTGCAGCTTTAACATATTCTGAAGGAATTTTGGGTCATTTGTAACTAATTTTAATTTACCGTTAAGTGTAAATCCCATTGCCTATAAGAATTTTGCTATATTAGTCTCCTATCTAGTAAGATTATCTTGTATAGTAAGTTTCACCACAACTTTTTAAAATTCAAAGGCAGTGCATAACCTAAAATTTGATTTACTAATTTTAAGTACCTCCTCTTTTACTGTTTGCTTCTTTTCCATTATATAGGAGCAGAACTTCTTCCACAAAAGACCTGAAAGAAGATTGGAGTATAGCTATACCAGTAAAAGAGGCCAAACCAGAAGAAAGAGGTAAAGTTGTTCCTTCTACTTGAATAATTGTAATTATATTTAAAAGCTTATTGACTTCATTTAATATATTTCTAATTGTCACAATAATCATGTTTAAGAGTTTTATAATTATGAGAGTCTAATAGACAAAATAGTTCTCTATATCATTTGATTAAAAATTCATTCAACATATATTTATTAGTGACTATTATGTACCAAATACTTGTTGAGGAGCTGAGTATATAATGATAGATATCCACTTCTCAAGATGCTAATCATAGTTTAGTGTTGCCCAATAGAACTTTCTGTGATAATCAGTGTTCCATACGTCTACTGTCCAATAGAGTAACTACTAGCTATATACAGCTGTTGAACACTTGAAATGTGGCTAGTGAGACTGAGGAACTTACTTTTTAAGTTTAATTCGAATTAAATTACATATAAATGTCAGCGGGTGCATGTGGATGATGACTACCACATTGAACATCGCAGCTCTAGGATATATTTATGTTGTCATAAATATTCGTATCACAATTTATAAAATGTATAATTTGTATACGCATGTAAAATTTGTGTTAACACTATTTTACTGTATTTAAATATATTATTGAGATTTTATGTAGCACCTCCTCTTCTCCCACCACAAATAATTGCTAAATCCTTGAATGAAGGCTAACTAATAAACTCAGGACTTTTTAAAAGCAAGAATATTTTGTTTTTCAAAGATTTTATTCCTAGCAAAGCTTTGTTTTTACTGTTTTCTTTTACATTATTTGTGCCTACAGTGAAGACGAGGATCTTAATCATTACCAAATTTTCACGTTAACAAATGCTGAGAGAAAAAAATAGATATATTAACAATTACAACTACTGCACAATTAACTACAGTTATGTTTACTGTCAACATGTGCATTTGAGGTCTAAAACAGAACAATAGCAGGATGAGGAAGTTTTATTGTAATTAAGGGTTTATGCTAAAAAATTGCAGATATTTGCTTAGAACAGTAATATGAAACTGTAAAACTGAGATGGCACTCAAGAAAAAAGATGAGATCTTACATACAATGAATTTGAGGCATCCCAAGTTACACACACAACATTTGTTTTGGAATTTATTATTGAGATAATATAAAAGACAGCTTCTAGAAACATAATGAACACCTTTGCTAAAACACATATATATTCAATAAGAAGTATTTTAATTATAAGTGGTATTAACTTATGCATGAATTTCAGACTGAAATCTTGTTATTATAATTGATTATAGAGTGAATCATAAATTGGCTAGAGAATATAGTGTTGAGTGCATATGTTTTCATTTAAAAAAAAGATGATGTAAAGTATCCAAGATGTGGTAGAATTTGGCAAAAGGAAACAATAGATTCAAAGACACCAAATAAAGGACCACTTTAGACAAAATTATTTTTATGCATTAAAATAGGAAAAACTGTTTTATAAGAATGCCTCTGAGGCAGCAACCTGGATTTCTTTGACAAGTACAATTGGTTAAAAATAGCAACTGTGTGACTGCTGAACTTGCACTTATAATCATTATTTAATACTCCCATCTAGCAGAAAATCGTTGTCTTTATTGTCCAAAAGCAACACAAAAAGGAAATGTCTTAGTTTTCTTTCTTCTTGATGCAGTTTAACTATTTTTCCTCTAGCCACAGTTCTTTGGGGGCCTTGTCTCTTAACACTTTGTATTTATGTGTTTATATAACATTTTGGCAAAAGTTAATATTTATAGGCATAAATGCTACAAGGATAGGACTCATGTCTGTCTTCTTTACTTTCTTATCTCCAGCAACGACCATGTGCATGTTCCTTGGAACATACTAGGCTCTGTACACATTTCTTTCGTAAATGGTCGAATGAGTATCCATGGTAATAATTTTGTTAACAATAAGCCACATCATTCCAGAACTGTGAACCAGGAATCAAAAATCTCTCTCATTAAAGGAGTTAATTGAGAATTAATTTAGTATTACAAGGGAATAAATAGAGTTTCAAAATTCCAGTGAATTCCTGGCAAAGCTAAGTAGAGAGAAGTTCTTAGTGGATGAGATTGAAGAATATGTCTTGTTTCTAGAAACCATCTATGATTATTCAGTATTTACTTGATATAATCATTATGATATGTTTCCTTATAGAATAGGAGGAAATATAAACATAATTTTACAATAAAGCTTTATAGTACAGCTTACTAATAGCAAATGTGTTTTTTTCCTTCAGATAAAATGATATATCTGAAAATATTAGTTGAGATTTAGTTATTGTAATTATTGTATAAGGTGCTCATTAAAAATAGGTCTTAAAAGTTTATAATCAATCTTATGTTTGTATTATAATAAAACTGCCTTTATAAAGTTGATTCATTTTTCTAACATTCTCTTATTAAATATATATTGAAAAAAATAATGCAACTAAGACCCATGTTCCCATCATCCAGCTTATTGACTGTTTTATTAACAAATATGAATACATATTTTTGCTTAAGATGAGAAGTGTCCAGAGTTAAAGCAGGAAATGGAAACATTGCTGTCAGAGGCCGTTCAACTCATTAAAAGTCTAGAAACTGATCGGGCAGAAGCTGAAGAAGCTTTAAAACTACAAAGATCAAGAAAGAACATGATTAACATGAAAATTGACTCTTGGTCAGTCTGGAAACTTCAAGAGCTCCCGTTGGCTGTGCAGAAAGGTAATAATAGGGATTTTTCATATTACTTACTCTGTTGGAGAAGCACAGATAATTAATTACAGGTCTGTATATTTTTAAAAAATTTTCCTAGTGCCATGGCTCACGCCTGTAATCCCATACTTTGGGAGGCTGAGGCTGGTGGATCACTTGATCCCAGGAGTTCGAGACCAGCCTAAGAAACAAGGTGAAACCACGTCTCTACAAAAAATACAAACACTAGCCGGGCATGGTGGTGCTTGCCTGTAGTCTCAGCTACCTGGGCGGCTGAGGTGGGAGGATTGATTGAGCCCAGGACATTGAAGCTACAGTGAGCCCTCGGTGACAGAGTGAGAGCCAGTCTCAAAAATAAGTAAATAAATATTACCTGTTTAGAGTGACCATATTATTTTGCCTATAAACCAGCACTTTTGGAAGATGCTATTGAAGATAATGCCAGGTTCACAGATGTAAACTGTGAGACTGTACTGGGCAAACCTGGACCTGATGTCCTTTGAGTCTGTTAGAAATCTAATGACATTTAAGGAACCCACAGAGCATGCAAACATTTGGCATATTTCCTATAATTACTACAGTATTTGAATTTCTAGAAATTTAGTAATTTAAAGTGATTGCCAGTTGGTATCATCAGCCACATTTTTAAGTCTAAGAAAATTGAGAGCGTTTTAAGTGATATTTTAGGCACTAAATGTGTGTGCTTTTGAGAATGCAATAGTAAATTTGTTTTGGGAACTTCTAGCAGGTATCAAAACCTAAAATGTTTCCAAGAATCATGAAAGTAACAAATGTTTAAGAAGGAAATTCTTTTAGCTCACAGAGTGAGGGACCTATGGTGAAGGATTAAAGACTCTAAGGGTACTGGAATTTTTTGGTTCAACAAACACTGTGCCTATGAAAACATGCCTGACTACCTAATTCTGCCTGAAGCTGGAAGATTTTTACTCTCTCAAAGGATAAAAATTTTAATTCGGGATGCACATGTTTTATAAGAGCTTTTTATTAATATTATGGTGCCTATATATGATCTATCATTTAAACCAAGAAATATTTGAGAAAAAAGGACATTATTACCCAGACTAATAGCTGTTAAGTCAAATTATATGTCATAGCATACTCATATTTAGACCTTTGTTATAATTTTATGCCTTCTAAAGCTGTAGTTAACAAAATAGGGTGTATAAATTCCAGAGAGTTGCAAGAAAAGATTAGAACTTTTATTTATATTTGCAAATTTTATCATTTTTGAAATTGTCTCTTTGAATAGAATTTACAGTGTGTATGCTCTACTAATATGATAGATTCATTTATAAATGTGTGTGTGTGTGCGCGTGCGCCCACACTCGCACTTTAGAGGCAATGAGGCTACAATAGGTTCAGAAAAGACAACCTGGGAAATTCTGGATCCCAGTAGATTCTTATTCTTGTCAAACTCTATTCACATTCACAGGAGTCATCTACATTTTTCCTAATTTTTGGGGAGGTTCTTCTTTAGTAGTAGTAGTAGCAGTAGTAGTAGAAAAAGTGTGGACAGAAAGTTTTATTTAATTTTTGCTGTTCAACTTATGTATAATCTCATATACACTTTGTAATAGTGCTTAGATACTGTAGTTTTAGGAGTTCTAATTTAGGAGTTCTTGAAATAAATTTAAACTGAGGTACATGTGTGCACATAATAGATACTTAATAAATGTGTTTTGAAGTATAGAATAAATACTTGTCATGGATGACAACTTATTGGATAGCCATTTAATCAATACAAGATCTACTTAGAAAACAGATTTATGTTCATCTGCTTTATTTTACAAAAGTAGCCACCATATGCAATGACATTTAAATTCATTATTGTTATGTGTTCTTTAAAGTTAAAAGCTTTCTCTTTGAAACATATTTCTTATAGGTAATGTGTTCTCAAGAATCTTGCCTTTATATTATTTATGTAGAATATAATCTCTAAATTTTATGAATTTGTTTACAAAGTATGGAGTCATACATTTTTATAGTCTTTAGATTCTCAAAGTATCTAGCATATAAGACAGGAAAACATTTAATCGCCTTAACAAACTTAATGTTAAGTATGATATTTGTTATAAATTTAGATACTTTTCAAAAATAAAATTAAGAAAACTCACTTTTTTCTAGATATTTTCTGTTTATTCTCCAGATCCATATTTTCTCTCAACTCCCCAATCCCACTTATATCTTTTGTTTTGTAGCCCACAAGGCTGACTCATAGTGGACTGCATCAAAGATCTCATTTGCATTCTGTCTTCCTGTTGCGTTCAACCAATGAGAATCAGTGGCAAGAGACCATGGGGAGATAATGGAGATGGGTGAGGCAAGGGTATTTAGAATACTGACTGCCCCACTCTCCATCTGATAACTTTAAGCTGACTTCATGCCTCTCCTAAAAATGACAGCCCTTGGCATTCAACATGTAGCCAATTATCTAGCAAATACTTTTTGTTTTCTCTATCAAAAAAGATAACTAGAAAAAGTTTACTATCATGAATTTGGCAGTATGTGATCCTACAAATCATAAAGTTGGGTATGCATAGTAGTGTTCCCTTGTGAAATAAAAGGCTCTTTATATTATACCCAAATATTATCTCAAGACACAAGTAAACTTGTGACTCAGACTCCTTTGGCATTCCCATTGTACCTGCTTCTATATATTCTCTGTCTTTCTGATAATCTACGTTATGGCTCCGTGGGTACTTTCCTATAACCATAATGGACTGCATCAAAAATCTTGTTTGCATTCTATCTTCCTGTAGGTTCGACCAATGAGAATCAGTGGCAAGAGACAATGGGGAGATAATGGAGATGGGTGAGGCAGGGGTATTTATAGCACTGACTGCCCCCCTCTCCATTTGATGACTTTAAGCTGACTGTATGCCTCTGCTAAGAATGACAGCCCTTGGCATCCAACATGTAACCAATTATCTATAAATGCATTTTGCTTTCCCTATCAAAAAAGATAATTGGAAATAAGTTTATGAAACTTATTTTCATGAAAGAGGAAAAAAATCACAGCCCTGGTTTCTGAATTAATTTAAGTGGTATGTAAACATAATTTGGAGAATTGCTGCACTCCAGTCCCATGATGGGAAAGGTGAAAGCTAATTCACCCCAAAGAGTGAATAGAAACATAGGATGCCACTTAGAGTGTCAGCTTGAAACTGGCATTCCAGTCCCATGATGGGAAAGGTGAAAGCTAATTCACCCCAAAGAGTGAATAGAAACATAGGATGCCACTTAGAGTGTCAGCTTGAAACTGGCATTCCAGTCCAATAATGGGAAGAGTAAAAGCTAATCATCCCAGTGGGCAGAATTTTAAGTACTCTTTAAAGAAAGAGAAATGGCTCAAGGAACATATGGTAAGTGGCAAAAGGGAAGGCAGAGTGTCAGGGACTTTGAAAATAAATGAATGTGAGATTGGTAAAAGGAAGTCTGGGAAGTTAAGAGATGACCTTCAGAAAGGACAGAGTACGAAGATAATTATGTCCCATACAAATGCTCACCAGACTGCATCTGCTATGGACGAAGGTCTCAGTAATGAATGGAATGTTAAATCTTCCAATTTGTTTTGAATTGTTTTGTCTTGTTGATTATTCGGTTATTACTACAATCATGCTTTGTAACAACCACCTTGGAACTCAGTGGCTTACAACAAGAAGCATTTTCTTCTTTGCTGTTGGGTTTGTGAGTTGGCTAGGGAGGCTTCTTCAGGCTGCAGATCCAATGGCCGTGGCTCAAGCCTGTATGTTGGGTTCAGGTCAGCTTCATGTATCTCTCATCCTCTTTGGCTAGCAGATTCCCAGAGGTATGGTTTTCATGTGGCAAATGGCAATACAAAAGGGTGAATAGAAACATTGGATGCCGCTCAAAGTGTTAACTTGGAACTGGCATACCTTTACTTCTCACATGCATTGAGATATACAATTTAAGTTGAGATTTGGGTGAGTACACAGCCAAAATAAATACCACATCCAAACCAAGAATCTATGTGATAAGAAATTATCTCTATCCCAAATGAGAGGGTAGTGAACTGTGTATCTGTCATATCCTTTTTCTTATAACTATTCCTGATATTGAATTCCTTCTATGGTTTCAACATATTTCATAGTAATCTCATCTTCAACTGTTAATTATATTTTGTAGAAGTCCAATGAGCCTTCCATTACTTTTTGCCTCTACTAGAATCCTAGGAGTTTCACTGGTTCTAAATCAGTTATACTAATTTCTTAGCTGAATTTTGACCTCTAAATTTTCTTAAGTTTCAAATTAGAGTGTTTTAGTTCCTTCAAGTCATTATTTTTCTACTCAGGGTGATTTACTGAGATTTTTTTCTATGCCAAGCTGTTTAAGCCCAAAGTTGTCAGCGAATCTTAACAGGTAAATTTAATTTGTTTCCTAATTTTAGGTCCATATTAGTTTGTTTTCATGTTGATGATAGAGACATACCACATGGCTGGGGAGGGCTCAGACCCTGGGAGGCAAAAGGCACTTCTTACATGGTAGTAGTAAGAGGAAAATGTGGAAGAAGAAAAAGTGGAAACCCCTGATAAACCTATCAGATCTCATGAGACTTATTCACTAACATGAGAATATCATGAGAAAGACTGGATCCCATGATTCGATTATTTCCCCCTGGGTCCCTTCCACAATATGTTGGAATTCTGGGAGATACAATTCAAGTTGAGATTTGGGTGGAGACACAGCCAAACCATATCATTCTGCCCTTAGCCCCTCCAAATCTCATGTCCTCACATTTCAAAACCAATTATGCATTCCCAACAATCCCCCAAAGACATAACTCATTTCAGCATTAACCCAAATGTCCATAGTCCCAAGTCTCATCTGAGACAAAGCAAGTCTCTTCTGCCTATGAGCCTGTAAAATCAAAAGCAAGCTACTTACTTCCTAGGTACAATGGAGGTACAGGTATTGGGTAAATACACCTGTTCCAAATGTGAGAGATTTGCCAAAACAAAGGGGTTACAGGGCCCATGAAGTCCAAAATCCAATAAGGTGGTCAAGTTTTTAGGACTCCCAAATGATTTCTTTTGACTCCAGTTCTCACATCCACGTCACGCTGATGCAAGAGGTGGGTTCCCATAGTCTTGGGTGGCTCCGTCTGTGGCTATGCAGGGTACAGCTTCCCTTCTGACTGCTTTCACGGGCTAGTGTTGAGTGTCTGTGGCTTTGCCAGGCATACCTTGCAAACTGTCAGTGGATCTACCATTCTGGGCTCTGGAGGATGATGGACCTCTTCTCACAGCTCCACTGGGCAGTTCCCCAGTAGGGACTCTACTGTGGCCTCCAACCCCACATTTCCCTTCCTCAGTGCCCTAGCAGAGGTTCTCTATGAGGGCTCCACCTTTGCAGCAAAGTTTTGCCTGGGCATCCAATGGTTTCCATACATCTTCTGAAATCTAGGGGGTGGTTCTCAAACCTCATTTCTTGACACTTGTGTACCCACTGGCTCAATACCATGTGGAAGCTACTAAGACTTGGGGCTTCCACCCTCTGAAGCCATAGACATAGCTCTATATTGGCCCCTTTCTGGAGTGGCTGGGACACAGGGCACCAAGTCCCTAGGTTGCACACAGCGTGGGGACCCTGGGCCTGGCCCATGAAACTACTCTTTTTTCCTGTGCCTCCAGGGCTGTGATGGGAGGGTCTGCCATGAATGTCTCTGACATGGGTGGAGACATTTTCCCGTGGTCTTGGGGAATAACACTAGGCTTCTTGCTACTTATGCAAATTTCTGCTGTGATCTTGAATTTCTCCTCAAAAAAATGGGTTTTTCTTTTCTACTGATTGTCAAGCTGCAAATTTTCTGAACTTTTATGTTCTGTTTCCCTTTTAAAATGGATTGCTTTTGAAAGCGTGCATGTTACCTCTTGAATGATTTGCTGTTTGAAAATTTCTTATGCCAGATACCTTACATCATCTCTCTCAAGTTCAAAGTTCCATACATCTCCAGAGCAGGGGCAAAATACCACCAGTCTCTTTGCTAAAACATAACAAAAGTCACCTTTGCTCAAGTTCCCAACACGTTTCTTATATAAATATATAAATATTTTTATACAGAAAAAAATTATATGTATTAATTTATTCAAATTCACTTTTGTGTTGTTTCATAGCATTCTGTCATTTTCTTTTTCTTTTTTTTATTATGAGCTGGCATTCTGTCATTTTCTCCCTAAATACCTTGCCCAGTTCATGTTAGGTTTATTGCTAGATTTATGTAGTTTATGTTTTAGTTTTGCTATTGTGAGATGTTCTGTTATCAACATATTCTATATGTAGGTAAGCATTTTTTATATTACTTTTGCATAAACTATCTTATTTGTGATAATTTTCATTTCACTATTTCATGTGTTTTTCTATTTAATACTATCAATAAGAAAATAATCACTTTTGCCTTTTCATTCTGGTATTTATAAGACTTATTTCATCATTTTTCTTCTAGGTGATTTTGGAAGGCCTCTAGTCTTGCAGTTCTCACTGTGAAGCAGTTACATAGAGTACTTTATAGAATAATGAGAATATATATTGATCATACAACATAAACAGGATTTGTACTAAAATAACTATTATCTTATGAAACATACGTTATAATTCTTTTGATGATGAATTAAGAAAGCAATATGTTCTATATTATCTTTTATTTTAGAAGTAGTAAGAGTCACAGAAAAGGAATTTCTGAAGTTAAAATGTTTTATATTTATGTATTATCAAATATTTCCTTTAATCAGGTTTTCTTTTGTTCTTATCCTTCTATATCTAGAACACGAGGCCTATTTGAGAGATGTTATAGAATTACAATGGCATCTTGAAGATAAAGCTAATCAACTACAACAGTTTGAAAAACAAAAGACAGAATTAGAAGAAGCAAATGTAAAGATTCAAGCAGACATAGGCTACATGAAGGAACATGGCCCTTTACTGGACTCTAAGCGGAATCAGGAACTTCAAGATCTGAAAAGCCTTTATAAAAAAAAAAAGGAGGTAAATGAATAAATGAATGCATGAGCATTTTATAAATTATTACTTAAAATTATTATGCAAAAGTTTTTCAACCATAAGAAATTAACACAGCTTTAAAGATTAATTTTTCTGAAAATTGACCCACTCTTTATCTCAACACATTACCAACTGTTGGTATTCATTTTATGTATTTCTTCTTCTCTCACCTTTATATTTAAGATTATGAAGCATATTTAGTTAACCTGCTAGTAAAATTTCAGTGATTTAAAATAGCCAGGTAAGGCTGGGTGTGGTGGCTCATCCTTGTAATCCCAGCACTTTGGGAAGCTGAGGTGGGCAAATCACTTGTGCCAAGGAGCTTGAGATCAGCCTGAGTAACATGGTGAAACCCCATCTCTACTAAAAATATAAAAATTAGCCAGATGTGTTGGTTTGTGCCTGTAGTCTCAGCTACTTGGTAGGCTGAGGTGGGAAGATTGCTTGATCCGTTGAGGTTGATGCTGAGGTGTGAGGATTGCGTGACCCCTGGAAGTTGAGGCTGCAGTGATCCATGATTGTGCCACTGCAATCCAGCCTGGGTGACAGAGTGAGACCCTGTCTCAAAACAAAGCAAAACAAAACAAGAACTTCAGAAAAATTAAATTTCGGGTTATTTTTTTAAAGCCATGATGAAGCTGAGCAAAAATGCAAGTAAAACATATTAATTTCATTGTTGATGAAAATATATAAATGAAATAAAGTAGTTTTAATGGTTAATTAGATGTTTAACTATCTTATAGAATATGAAAATAATTTATTGATAATTGTCACAAAATGAACAAATTTAAATTTGTGTAATATTTATTTTTGAACATTTTAAAGTAAATAAAACAGGTTGTTAAATATCTCCTGTGTTCCCCTCAACAGTTCTATTTTCATTCCTCCTTTACTAAAGACAATCTTTATCATGAATTGCATGTGTTTATAAGCCACATTTGTATAATTAGGTACATGTATGTGTGTTAATAAATAATACAGAGTATTTTTATTATACAAACAGTACCATACATTGTGCAATATTCTGCAACTTGTTTAATCTGACAGTTTTTTAGTTTAATCAAGCTACTCTTGATATGTGTAGATCTAATTAATTCATTTTACTTGCCTTGTTTCATCAAATGGATATTTCACAATGTAATTACTTATCATTTCATCTATCATTTCATCTTCTCTTAACCATCTGAGTTGTTTCCAATATCTGGCAACAAAACTGCTTATTTGACTGTAAACAGTAATCCGACATGAATACCTTCCTCTCTATCTGCATATGAATTTTTCCTAGTGGGGTTATATACCTAGTTGGATATTTACTGGATTGTGGGTTACACACATTTACTATTTTATTAGATAATACCAAGTTACTTTTCAGAATGCCTATAACAATTTATATCACTAGAATAACAGCAGTACTCAAGTCTTATGTCTCCATTGTGGGCGAGAATGCAAGTACTGTCCTTCTTGGTTAGTAATAGGCCCCTATGTAGTTGGATGACAATGTGTCAGGCACAAAGATATTTCTCAATTTCCCTTTTCTTATTGTATTTCTAATGAAATGAAGGTAGGTGTTATTGGCTGTGATTTCTAGGAAAGCTCTTTGAAATAGACTGACTCAGCCAGGCAGTCTATTTGGCAGTTTGCCTCAGCTATCATAACTAGGTTTCTGTAAGTTAATAAAATGCCAGATTAGCTATTTACTAAACTTCCTAGATATGATAGTTGCAGTTCTAACTTCCATTTTACAGCATTAAGCAACCTTGGGGATGGAAGCCACAATTCACGATGGCTGAAGAGCAAAAAAAGAGTCAGAAAGGTTTTTGTGAGAGAAACGTAAACTGCAACCTTATTTAAACAACTTACTTGGTTTATTTCTGTAACTTACAGCCAAACTCAATCCTAACTGGTATAACTCATAATTTAGTTGACATTTTTATCATCATTATTTAAAAATTGTTCTATATATGTTTAAATTGGTATCCCTTTGTTTTACTGTGTTTTTCCCTGATACTAAACTTGGGTATACTATAAGCAGGGGAAGTGGACTTGTTGGGCAGCTGGAAGATAAGGCCTGTAAATGAAAGGGAAGAATTTATTCTAGCAGACCAAAACAAGAAAAAAAAGCAACATTTGTGTAAAGCTTATCAGGGCCACAATAATGGTTAATTTAACTGCCACCTTATGGGTCCAAGATGCCCAGATATTTGGTCAAACATTATTCTGGATGTTTCAATAAATATACAGTTTTTGGATGGTATTAACATTTGAATTGTTAGATTTAGAGGAAAACAGATTGTTCTTCATATTGTGGGTAGGCCTCATGCAATCAACAGAAAGCCTTCACAGAAAGAAAACTGACCTTCTCTGAGCTAGAAGGAATCTGGTAAGCACACTACTTTTGGCCTGGGACAGCAACTTTCCCCTGGGTCATTAGCCTGCCAGCCTACCCTGTAGATTTTGGATTTGTATGTCCAAAGTAGTATGAAATTTTTTCTTAAAAATCAGTCAATCTCTCTCCCCTACCTCTTCCTCTCTCCTTTTGGTTGTTTCTCTAGAGAGGCCTGCCTAATATGGTCACCATTAATCCAATGACTGCCCTTTTTTATTTTATCATTATTGTGCTACTCCATTGCTTCTCAAATTCCTAGATCAGTGCTTCTGGTTATCTGTCTTTAAGTCCGCTGATGACCTTCTAGCTATCCCAGGAGTCAAAATGAGAATTTGGACCTCTTGGCTTCTGTAGTGTGAGCCATAAACTCCATGAAATCACCCACTATGGGTGTACAATGCAAGGAAAAGTAATTCCCCAAGAAAAAATAATTCCCCATCATGAAATTGACATGCTATTAAGAAAGGCTATAAATGTCATGGAGCCAAAATATGAAAACTCTCTACTATAAGGTAGAAGAAAAGTGATAGTAAGAGTAAACACATTTTTCTTTGGTAAAATGAGCATAACTGACAATACTCAAAAATGAAAAGCAGAATTATGAGCACTGAGAGGCCTACATAATTCCTCAGAGAGAAATAAAAATATATACATCGAGACTGTAAAAATTCTTGTCAACAAATTAGATAACCTAGATAAAATGGAATCAAGAAAAAATAGGAAATCTGAGCAACTGTGTAACTAGTAAAGAGTTTGAATAAGTAATTGACTACCTCCTCCCCAACCAAAAAAAAAGAACAGGACCAAGTGGATTCACTAGTGAATTACACACACACACACACACACACACACACACACTCACTCAAACTCTCAAACTCTTTCAAAAGGAAAAGAAGAGGAAGGAACACTTCCTAACTCATCTATGTCAGCATTACCCAGTTACTAAAGCCAGATAAATATATCACAATGAATTAAATTATAGACCAATATAACTTATGAATATAGATGCAAAAATTCTCGACAAAATCCTAGCACCTCAAATCTAGCAGCAGACTAAAAGGATTATACATCATGGCCAAATGGCATTTATCCCAGGAATACACATGTAATACAACATACGAAAATAAATCAGTTTAATGGACCACATTAATAGAATAAAGGAAAGACACACACACACACACACACACACACACACACACACACAGTTGTCTTAGTTGATAACAAACAATGGACAAACTCCAAAATTCTTACACGATAAAAACCCTCAACAAACTAGAAAAAGAGGAAAAATTGCTCACTGTGAATAAGGACATTTATGTAAAACCCACAGCTAATACTAAACACAATGATGAAAGACTTAAAGCTTTCCTCTAGATCATAAACAAGAGAATAATACCCATTTTTACTACTTCTATTTGACATTGTACAGAAAGTTCAAGCCAGAGTAGTTAGGCAAATAAAAAAATAAGGCATAGAAATTAGAAATAAAGAAGTCAAATTTTATTTTAGAGGATATGATCTAATGAATAGAAAATCCCAAAGAATTCACAAAACAAACTCTTAATGCTAAAAATCACATTTAGCAAACTTGCAGGATTCAGCTCAACACACAAAGCTCAGTTGTATGTTTTTTATTTATGTTATTTTATTATATTTTAAGTTCTGGTGTACATGGGCAGAATATGAAAGCCTGTTACATAGTTATACACATGCCCTAGTAATTTGCTGCATCCATCACCCCATCATCTACATTAGGTATTTCTCTTAATGCTATTCCTCCCCAAGCCCCCCACACCTCCAACAGGCCCTGGTGTGTGATGTCCCCCTCCCTGTGTCCATGTGTTCTCATTGTTCAACTTCTGCTTATGGGTGAGAACATGCAGTGTTTGGTTTTCTGTTCTTGTGTCAGTTTGCTGAGAATGATGGTTTGCAGCCTCATCCATATCCCTGTAAATGACACGAACTCATCATTTTTAAGGTTGCATAGTATTCCATGGTATATATGTGCCACATTTTCTTTATCCAGTTTATTATTGATGGGCATTTGGGTTGGTTCCAACTCTTTGCTATTGTGAACAGTGCTGCAGTAAACATACGTGTGCATGTGTCTTTATAATAGAACAATTAATAATCCTTTGGGTATATACCCAATAATGGGATTGCTAGGTGAAATGACATTTCTAGTTCTGGATCCCTGAAGAATCACTAAACTGTCTTCCACAACGGTTGAATTAATTTACACTCCCACCAACAGTGTAAAAGCGTTCCTATTTCTCCACATACTCTCCAGCATCTGTCATCTCCTGACTTTAATCTCCATTCAAAAAGGTGTGAGATAGTATCTCATTGTGGTTTTCATTTGCATTTCTCTAACAACCACTGATGATGAGCTTTTTTTCCATATGTTTTCTGGCAGTGTAAGTGTTATCTTTTGAGAAGTGTCTGTTCATATCCTTCACCCACTTTTGGATGGGGTTGTTTTTTTCTTGTAAATCTGTTTTAAGTTTTTTATTGATTCTAGATATTAGCCCTTTGTCAGATGGATAGATTTCAAAAATGTTCTCACATTCTGTAACTTGCCTGTTCACTCTGATAATAG